AGGTGGAGCATGGTGGCTCAGGGTATAGAGTTTTCGACTTCCAATCAGGTGAACCGGGTTCGAATCCCGACATTGTTGGTTTGAAATCTGCACCCGGCTCGCGCCAACCATAGTGCTGATGTAACGTATCCTTAGTGGTAGACGGATCATGGGTTAGATTCCCCTTGTCGTCAGGCTACCCGTGGGAGTTTTCGTGGATTTCCTTTCCATGTAACTCAAATGCGGGTTAGTTCCATGATAAAATCCTCCACGTATAAAATTCTCCCAAAACTAGGCCTAGAAGTTCCGTTCTCTTCTGAATTTGGTTAAAAATTACAAGACCACTGAGTTGAACATTACTAGTCGTGAAAAAAAATTCGGATCGGCTGCTTAATAAAGTAAAGTAAAATATAGAGAGTGTCCTCTGTGGTAGACGGATCATGGGCTAAAGTCCCTTTGCGGTGGGGCTAACCGAGGGAGGTTTTTGCGGTTTTATTCTCCATGCAACTGTAATGCGGGTTAGTTTCAGCAAAAAAGTCCGTCGTGCAGGCAAAATTTCTCCGAATATTTGATCCAGGGATTCCCTTCGTAAACCGCATAACAAATCTTTTTAGGTTTTCATTAAAAGGTTTTTGCTGAGTGAAAATAAACCTTATTTTGCTATCTGGGGATAGCTTATACTTTTCATAGAGATGAGAAAAAATTAACCAACCAAAATCAAAGATAATAACCATTTACTAAATGAAATGAAGTTATCAAACTGAACATTTTTGCTGTATCCGCAATTGTACTAGAACTGTAAAAAAACACGGACTTATTTGGTAAAAATATCCAATTTTATCAAATGTATTACCAAAAATGACTAATAGAGCCATCCCTTGGTTTTAATTTTGCCAAATGTCATTATCAAAACACTACGGTAAAAATTAGAATATTTTTCTTGTTGTTTTCATCGAGCCTGAAAACACTGTAAATTTAACCATATTCTGATAATTTTGACCTTACTTTTTTTCTCAGTGCAAGAGAGAAATCTCAAATTTGGACCACGTGTTCTCTATCAGATACAGTTCTCTGGCTAAATTATTAGACGCACTATAAGATTCTATGTAAAATCTTAATTATCAGGTGATGCTCTATACAGCTTTATTCTTTTTACGTAACTGAAACCGGTTTGCGCTTGTTTACGTTCGTGTATCCATGGGTTAAATAAACGATATTTAATATAAATTGGACGATAAGAAAAATTAGACGATGGATTATATAAATATGGAATATTTATTACATCAAGCATTATATTAATAAATTATAATAATTAGATCAAATTATGAGACACACTGTAGTGTTTTAATAATGACATGATTTGCACGAGTTTATAGGCAATACTTTTATAGTTAAACATACATGTAATGGGTTTTTATTCGGGAGATTTTTTATCTGCTTCCTATTTGTATTTATTTTCAAAGTATTGCATTACAATGTTAACCCATTGATACAGGAGCGTAAGCAAATGCAAACCGGTTTCATCCGAGTGAAAGCAATACAGCAGTATAGAGTATCACCTGATAATTAAGATTTTGCATAGAATCTTATAATGCGTCTTATAATATAGCCAGGTACTGTATAATAAAAAACTGAAAGAAGTTTCATTTCCAGATTTTGTAGTTCTACTCAAGGTAATTGGAGAGTCATTTCATCCAATTGAAAGTAATGCTAAATAAAAGTTGGCCACAAAGAAAGAAGTTTAAAATCTTGACCAAGTTTTCCTTACCAGGTAGAAAGAAAAATGTTTCAATTGTTGTTGTTATCTGGATCCGAGACTTTGTAATTAAGATTGGAAGTTGTTATCTGGATCCGAGACTTTGTAATTAAGATTAGAAGTTGTAATCTGGATCCGAGACTTTGTAATTAAGATTGGAAGTTGTTATTTAGATCCGAGACTTTGTAATTAAGATTGGAAGTTGTTATCTGGATCCGAGACTTTGTAATTAAGATTGGAAGTTGTTATAGGGAGCATATAGGAAACATTCTGTCTTTAGTGGTCCGAAAAAATTTTAAGCTAGGATTGTCACGAGATTCTGGTGAACATTTGAGAATTCATAACTGCCAGAAAATTGTCGGAAATTTAAAAAATTCCCTGAGGTGATGAATTTTGCTCGTAAATAAACCATGAAATGATTGAAACTTGTACTGTCATTAGACACGGAGCTTCAAGTGGGATTTGAGTGTATTGTCCGAAAATTTTCGAAAATTTGATTGCAATTTATTGGCCTATTTAAAATCAGAACTCTTACATATGTGCCGTAACTACCACTATGAATATTGAATACCAATTCACTAGTATGTAACACATGTTAACTTGATTCTCTCTAGAGTTACCTTTTGATAGATGAAGGTTGACATAGTCAAAATTTAAAATCCCTTCATTGGTGACCTGCGTACGTGATAAGAACATTAAAAAAAATAGAAAAAATATAATGAGCAAAATTGGTATAAATAAATAAACAGCATGAATCAACTAGTGCTATTCGTTCTTCGAGTTCTATCACAGACAGTGGCGGATCCGGAAATGTTTCCTGGGGAGGGTCATGGACTCAGAAACCCCCTCCACACACACACACACAACTAATTTTTTTATAAGAAAAAAAAATTTTTAAGTATTTTTTTTTTTTTTTGAAAAAAAAAAACTGGAGTTTTTAATGCTAGTCTCCTCATTTTTTTTTTCATAATGAACTATAGAACAATACATAAATAATTCAAGTATTCATCATCTTTAAATAATAAATGTAATGCGTTTTTTAGAAACTTTAGCAAATCTGTCAATAATTTTTTCAACATCCAAATCAATTTCTCGATGAATGTTTAATAATGCGAGTCCATTCAATCGTTCTTGATTTTGAGTTGCTCTAAGCCAAGTTTTGAGACGACGACGAGTTGAAAAGGAACGATCTGCTGTTGCTGCACTAACTGGCAGAGTTATTAAAATTCTCAACAACATATTGATTCATGGATACAAATCGATGTTACAGGCATTAACAATCTTAGAAAGATCGTTAAGCACTTCAAGTCCTGCTTCTGTTTCACGTTGCCATTTTGCCACCCAAAGACCAAATTCTGTTTCGACAACTTTTACGGAAGCATTTAAGAGATTCTTATAAAACTCGGCAGTTTCATGAACATCTCTATAAGATCTTCTTCTGTAACAGTTTGAAGAGGTAAAAAAAACTCTTAGATTAAAGAGTTTCATCACATCTAGGGAAAGTCTGTCCTTTAAATCTGTTAAAATATTATCTAATAAAGGAATATCTAATAAAGGAATACAATGAAACTATGAGGATTTTCGTTTTAATCTTTTGGATTATGATTCTTGAAACAGTGAAGAACATAATTAGGTGGGGGGAAAATCGATTTTTCCGACCTACCTAGTTGTATATGTCCCCTTAAATAATTCTTGAAACATTTTATTTCTTTTGTAAACTATTAAAAAAATTATTATTTTCCACTGATCACAGATAAAATTCTGGAAGGGGAGTAATGTGGCGTAACTACCACTATGAATATTGAATACCAATTCACTAGTATATAAGACATGCTAACTTGATTCTATCTTAGCGTTGAGAGTTATTTAGCAGAACATAGAGAACCTGAGCTGATTGAATATACAAACCCACAGGAAGTTAAAACAANAATGAAAGAGGAGTAATGTGGCGTAACTACCACTATGAATATTGAATACCAGTTCACTAGTATATAAGACATGCTAACTTGATTCTATCTTAGACATACCTTTTGATAGATGAAGGTTGACACAGTCAAAATTTAAAATCATTTAATCATTGCATGAAATCATTTCAAAATAACAGGCATCAAATTATGTGTTAGCCTTTTTGTTATCTTAGGCTTGTCTTTCTTAGTGTTTAACCAAGCAGAACAACTTTTAAACTGAAAGAAATTTATTCAAAAGTTCACAAAAGTTTCATCTACAAGAAATTATCAAAATTCTTTGAACTCAGTGGAAATTAAAGACACCGGAAAGAATATGGTATACATTTCACTTATAAAAATATCAAAGTAAGTAAAACATTTATTCTAAATGACAAATCCATAAATTAAGCAGTTATTTAAGTAACTATTCTATAAATAAAGACGAAATTATAAGACAATAAATAAAGAAAGGAAGCCTTTGAATTGTTTTTTTTTTCACATTTGTTATGTCATGCATTTCCTTTTAATTGAAACTTATTTAATTCTTTTTTTGGAATCGATATTGCTTTTTTAAATGTTACTGAAAATAAGATTATTTATATTAATAAAATACTTCCAAAATATTTTTTTTAATCTTTTTATTGACCCTTTTAAATCTTTTTTTTTCTAATTGTTATAACTGAAAACTTAAAATCCATTTTTGATGCTTAAATAGAATTAGAGTATTGATAAAGGTCTTGAAATACTCCCGGAATGTAATAAAATAAAGAACGAAAATAATTTCAATACAGAATCAAAGTTATTTTAAAACAAAATGTTATCAAACTGATCCAGATCGGACAAGATCAAATGAATTGTTTGCTAAGTTGAAAATTTTTTGTGAGTGAAATTGCATCAAGTCATGCTACAATGTAGTTATGCATTCGTCATTTAAGGTATTGAAAATATCGTTTTAGTTTTAGAAGAATTCCGAAAGTGTTAATTAAAGATTCGTCCAGTTAATTTGAGAAATGAACTATTGTTGTATGTTTCCAGTATGTTTTATCATAAGATCCCAAAGAAGCAAAAGGATTCGAAAAATGATCCAAAATAGTAAACTATAGACGCAAAATTCCGAACAACCCATTCCGAGATTAAGAAAATGGCGCCCCTCATGCCATCAAAAGAGTTAGCCACGATCGAACTATGAGTGCTGTGTAATCACGCTCTCTCGTTTTGGAATGTTGATCTAAGAACCTATTTACGCGCAGCCATCGAAATCTATTATTGCAAAACAATAGTTGCATTGCATTCAAGTCATGTTCTTTTTTTTTATTTTTAAAAACAAGAATACCTTTCATTTCTTTGGGATCATAGGACCGCTGAACTTCGCGTTCATTTAGAACACTTTAAAAAAAAGTGTTCTTTTTTAAATCATCTCCGCTTGGAGTCGAAACTTCGACAAGCGTGAAAAATCGATAACGATTCCTTTCTTCGATTGAAATGACTTTCATCGATATCATAAATCGGAAATTCCACTCAATTCTTTAATCAGAGCAAAACTTGTGTTCGTTCCAGTCTTTCTGTAAGAGAGTGAAGTAGTTCACGATTATTATTGTCTCTGTTCGGGTTTCTTCCTCTAGCCATTTCGGCTAAGTAATACTGAGCCCAATTATAACCCATTCTATGTAATTAGGCATTTCCATTCCTTTACGAAATTCCTTTCCAGTTGAAAAATTAAGTTTTAAATCTCCCCTTAATAATAAAACAAAAAATGAAACAGAAACTTGATTAATAGTTTTTAATGTTGTGTTTTGTGGTATTAGGAGAGCAAAGAAAACTTCATTTCCAGAATTCAAAGTTGGGAGTAACGTTATTACAAACATCCCTAATAAGTTGGGCTTAGCGTTATGGCTAAAAACTTTGTCAAGTTTAGTGTAGCCTCTATAAGTTTAGTACAGCAATATTGCTAAAAATATTCAAACTCGCGACTAACGTGTCTAATGAGTTTGCGTGGCATGGTAACAACATGTGTGCTCAAGAATACCATTTTAACTGCCAAACGTGTCTAATGAGTTTGTGGCATGGTGATAACAAGTGTGCTCAAGAATACCATTTTAACTGCCAAACGTGTCTAATGAGTTTGTGGCATGGTAACAACAAGTGTGCTCAAGAATACCATTTTTAGTTGCCAAACTGTGCAACGAAGTTTGATTATCGGAACGAAAAAAGGGTAAAAAGGAGGATTATTCCAATAGTATGAACCTAAGAATTAATATCTTCATAGATGCGCGTAGGCTCCGTTCGATCAAGAAAGCGTTGTTTTCGATCTTTTTTGATTGGGCAAACACCAGTGGTGGCAAGAAAAACGTCATATCCGGCCATTGAATGGGCAGTAATTTTGAAAGCATTAACAGTTCCGATAAATACAATGATGCACAGTTTTTTTATTCACAAAAATTCCAAAGGTTTTTATATATTAGAGTTTCAGAGTTTGTTTTCTTTATTTTTCGATTTTTGGTTTCCTTTGCTCTCTACCAATTTCATATTTCCATTTTTTTTAAAAAATAAAAGACACTCAAGTATTTGAGAAACGTTGTAAAGCTATAGTTAAATAATGAGGAATGCAATGTACTCCATGAAAAAGAATAAAGAATTTGTTGTGAATTATTGTCATTACAGTTATTGTGAGTAGTTTTTAGGTAAACATTGATTGATTGATTGTAACCCGCAATTCCAAAAGGTAGAGCTCTGCCTACCTTTTACGTACAAATCAAAATCGATAAATTTCTTATTTAAATTATAAAGAATTTTCTAAATTGGTCTAAAAGGTTTCTACAAGTATGCAGTTTGCTATGCAAAGTTTAATTTGTGCATTGAAAAGTAAATTATATGAACTCAAAATGGTAATAAAACACTTCAGATTGTCATTTAAGTAAGTTTCTTTGCTACTTTTGATTTTAATGTATTAAGCGAATTTTATAATTTTATGCAAACGAAATAATCTGTTCTTTTACTAATCTAAAATATTAATTAAAAACTAAATATTTATTACAATCTTACTAGTATTTCAAAAGCATTAATCAAGTGCAAACCAAATATTTATGCTAATTGTTATTTTTTTAGCAATCGATTTATGCCATGACGTAACAAACGGGAAAGTTACTTTTTTTTTGTATTTCATGACACAGTTTTTTTGAGTTATTTGTTAGAGAAGCTTATGTTGATTTTTTTTGCTTGTTTTTTTTTGGGTTTTTTTTTTTGTTTTTTTTTTCAACATTAAGAATTTTTTGTAACATTCAGGAACAAAACTACAACCATAAAAATCACACAATAAACAAATTTACACGAAACATTAGGATGAAATATCAATAACCAAAACAAAAATGAAATAAAAATGACTCAAATTTTACACATTAAGTGGCGAAAAATATGTTTCAAATACAAAAATATGCTATTTCTTACCTGACTTTAATGGGTTTTTTTTCATTAATTCTATCAGCTTCCATAAATGATGAAAAAAAATTCCAAATAAAAAATGTCCGTAACTATTGTAAAAGTTATAAATATTTATACCAATGTAAATTTTTGGGATTAAATCCGTTTTCAATAAAATTTTACTCTTTTTTCACTTAAATACAAAATTGCATGAATGAAATTTTTGCAAAAATATCGAATTCCGTGAGAAGGGAACAACATCATCACAGTTATCTGATCACAGTTAATGTTCCAAACACGATGACGATTATGACAGATGGCGAATTTCAAGCAATGTCAAAATCGTTTTCTCTCTCTTTATCTCTCTCTCTTTTTAATTATTCAGCAAGTTGCTAATATTTGAAAACGATTTAGCTTCTTGAATGAGCAAGATGTTGAGCAGTGTAAAAAAAATTTTATTGCTAATTATAAGCTTTATATTATCGTCTGCAAGCTCGGTTGAAATTTTTTAAAAGTCAGATTTAGACAATGCTAGTATTTTTCATATTTATTTTTTTTATTTTGAACTTATAAACGATGTGTCAGGGTTCCTATTTATGGAAAAATAACTGCCACACATTTTTTTTATAGAAATACTTGATTTAAAAGAAAATATCCAATTTTTTTAAAATATGTTATAATCTCGTTCTCCGAACCATATTTTTCGCCATAATATACTCAAAAGCTATATTAAACACTTTCATATATTTTTTGAAAACAAATATTCTCCAAGTTTTGACCATAAATAATATGCACTGTTAGGAAATATACGAACAAAATAAAATATTCTAAAACACATATTGGAATAAAAAATCTACGAAGAATATCATGCAAAATGAACAAATTCTTCGCAGGGCTAGAATCTTTGGAATATTAGCTGTAACTTTATCTAGTGAACAGGCTTTTAAACTGTCACTAAAATAAGTACCATAAAGACGAAGAAACCACGTTTCATTAGAATTGAACAGAAGTATGTAAAATAGTCAATATTCAAAAGAAAAACTATCAAAATGATTTTTAAGAATTACTATAACTTAAAAAAACTGCTGAAAATGGTTCGCTAACATATTAAATGACAATTTAAAAATAAAGTAAAGCAAATCTATTTGAATTTATGAAAATAAACATTATCTCAATAAATAATAATTAAATTTCAAACAAAGTTTTAAGTTCCATTGTTATTTTTATTCATTTTTGGTAAATTTTAATATATCCCAGTTAAGCCCACGAGGAACCTTTTAATCAATGCCATTAATTAATTAAGCCCTTTAATCAATGGGTTTGAAAAATTCTAAATATCTATACACATATCATTTGAGTGCAATATAGACATGGTTGGTTAAAAAAGTGCAAACTTGAGATATTTTTGACACTATATCGTTTTCGAAATGAAATGTCAATACTTTAAAAAAAAGTTTAAGCCTTAACCCTAATCCTGAAAAGCAATTTCGAATGTATGCTAACAGTTGATCCCTGAACCATTCTGATATTTAAGTAAAAAAAAATACTTAAGAATATCTAATCAATTGTGGTTTCACATACATTATAGTAAGAGATAAAGTACAACGAACAACAAACACACAGACACAATTAACAGAGAATGTTTTTTTTTTTTCATCTTTAGGAGATTTGGAAAAAGGAAATAATTTAAGTTTGCTCTACGCATTTTAAGGCAACTCCATATCTAATTCTATGTCGGTTAAAACAAAACATCTTTGGCTGAAATTCAAATAGTAAGCATAATTTTACAGGCAACGAATGATACTGGAATTATCTTAATAAATAAACAAGTTAAAAGCTCCAGTTATAATGCTTTTTGGAAAAAGGAAACATTTAGATATGCGTAAGTAGTTTAAGCTCAATAAATAATCCATGCTTTTTTTTTTCAAGCTAATTAAAAAACGTTGCCATCGCCAAAAGCAAGTAAAGCGTGCTCAAATGCAAAGTGATTTCATAGTTCTATTTAGCTGTAACCATGCCTTTGAATTATTTACACTGCAACACCGATGAACTACGAGAAGTTAAGACAAATGAAGCGAAAAAGTAAAACGATTTCGATGAACTACGAGAAGTTTAGACAAATGAAGCGAAAAAGTAAAACGATTTCAAACATGCAAGAAAGCTGACACTTCTAAAATAATGTTTTAACTAAAAATTAGAAACATTTTTGAACTGCTTCCAAAGCGTCTATGATTAAATCTAATACTTTTTTCCAAAAAATGGTATTCACATAGTGTTTACTGAAAAATATAGCACAACTTTGAACAATCTTTAGATATTTGTGCTTTTAATTGTAAATGCATTGCTTAGGTATGGAATAATTCTATGAACACTTTTTATAAAGCTTTTTTGAACAACAACAATAACGGGATTTTTTTTAACTGACTTTGCCATAAAGTAATATTTTTTTTTACAGAGGGAACTTTACAGCATATAAATAAAACCGAAAACACTGTGTCTCAGCAAAAGCTTCTTACTATTTAACTTTACTATTTGTTTGTTTTTTTATCATTGCAAAGTGTATTTTACAGTGTGAAAATTTTTTGTGACAAATATGAACTAATCCTAAGTTTTATGACTACAAGCATTATTGTATAACGCCTAGTCTAAAAATATTCTTTGAAGTTTTATATATAACAATTAAACTAAAGCCTCGTTTTTCTGGTTTCTTGTCTTTGGTACAAAATAAAAATATATAGTATTTATTTAACAATAAACATCTAAACGAATTAAGAATCATTAACTATTCACATATTTCTTACAATTCCCAACTTTTTTTAAAATTATAGTTTGTTAACCATTAAAATAGAAAATATCAGTTGAATAAGCAATAATGTAAGGTCATTTATTCAGAATGCTTTATGAAAAGCGTAACATTCTTTTGACTTATTTTTCTTTTTAAAACTGAAAACATCGATCGAAATTTTTTTTAGCATTCATTTTAGCATTGAAGCTGAGGTTAATAAAATGCTTGATACATTTTGCTGTTGAAATATCTTAAGTTGGGAATTATAGTTTACGTAAAAAATAAATTGATTTCGCCAACAACAAATCGAATGCTATCCCAAAACCTGTGTACATTAATAAAAACACATTCTTAATATTTAAAAATATATTACTCGATATAAATATACAAAACTTAATAAATTATCAATGTAAACTAGGAATGAAATGTACAAAAGCAATGAACATAATTAAAATAAATAGGAAAACAACGGAAATGTTTGATAAAAAAACAATTGAAATGCATGATGGGATAGCAATCGATATTATAATCGATATATCGATTATTAGTAATCGATATATTTATATATATATATATCTTTGTACATCTGCTTAGTCATATTTGGAAGCTGCAAGAACATGGCCAGCGGTTGAAGGGTGTCCAAACGGGGCTGCTGCTTTTGTGGTTTATTTGACGGTCATCCAGATGGAGAAGATGACCATGGCCATTAGGGCTATCCAGCTGCTCTGTTGGATGGTATGTGGAGCGGCGTTACAGCCATCATAGTTACAGCTACAGTACTGTATCAGGACGTTGAAGGTGCCAGCTCTCTTGAAGCAATCGTGGCTTTCGTTCTCGTTGCTGAGCCAACCGCAGCCCCGCACAAAGCGGTAGTCATCCCTTACTGTAGACACAAAAAGAGTAAGTTAATGAGTAAAAGTGACAGCAAGTGCGGTGATTGCGAAACACCCTGTACAACATACTGTTAAAGGGGTCTGTTTAGAAGAAATTTGGGTCCGTTAACGGACCCTTCACAAAATATCTTTTCATAAAAACGGACCCTTCACAAAATATTTTAACTTAAAAACGAAACCTTCACAAAATATTTTAACTTCAAAACGGACCTTTCACAAAATAATGTATCTTTTAATCGGACACTTCACAAATTTGTTTATCTTCTTTGTTGTTTCGTTAATCGAATAAACCCTTCCCAAGGGAGTGGAGGGAAAGAAAGACAGGTGTAAGCGAACTAAGTTTTGTCTTCGGCAGACGCTTCTTCCTTTGTTCGTCCGAATCGAATATTGCGCTTTCAGCAGAATAGGCTAAATACCAAATATTTGTATGTTGCATTTCTAATTTAGTAGCAGTTTGTTTTTAAAAATTTAATTTTTTTTAATTATAATTTTACAGTGTTGAGCATAATTTTGTGTCTCTTTACAATTTAAAAACTCCTTGAAAAAGTTTTTTGCAATAACAGGATCCCATTTGCACAAAATCACCAAGCAGGATCCTAATTGAAAGAATGTGACTTAACATTTATTTTATATTCTCAAATGACGAGTCATTTTTTCACAATTTTACAAAAACGGACCTTCCACTAAATATCTGGACAGACCCCTGCTGTATAAGATGAATGTGTAACTATTAAGAGTGGGGATTGCAAGCAAAGAGTGGGGATATTTATAAATATTATGAGATAATGCAAACAATTAATAACATCGTTAAAGCTCAGTGTTAATGAACAATTATCATTTATAATTAAGGCCCGGATTTTGATGACATTTGCATTTTTTTGCATTTTTTGCATTTTTGGGCATTTTTTGTCTTTTAGAGCATTTTTTGAGATTTATAGGGCATTTTCTTTAAATTTTGGGGCATATTTTGCATTTTAAAGCATTTTTTGAATTTTTTGTTAATTTTTTTCTAATTTTTATTATTTTTTTATAATTTTTTATTATTACACTGGCTTCCAAACAATGAAGAAAGTCTCTAGGATATTAAAAGGTGAAGCAACATCTTTTCAAATTGAAGAAGAATTGTCAGTAAGTGTGACCGTCCTTTTCAAGTACGCACCAATAACATCAGTAGACGTTGAAAGAAGCTTCTCCTGGTA